GCACCTTACGTCCCTTGTAGAAAGGTTGATTTTTTTAAATAAATGTAATTCCTAATATCATACATTGCCTCGAATACCATCATTATTTTACCCACATTTTTAGAGGAAGCTTTATAATAAATGCATCCATTGCTTTCCAAATATTTTACTATTGTTCAATAGTAAGCTGGTTGCTGATATATTTAAATTGTTTAAATTCATAATCAGAGCCAACTTACCTGCTATTAAATGTGACCTTACCTCCTAAAACTGAGCTAAATGAACCACAGTGAGCTCTTACCTGGCTATAACGGACATTATATCTACCTATGTCTATACATCTCGTCTAAAAGTGGTGCTCTGGTTAACTCGTATACCACGGCTACCTGGGCAGTGGGCCACTCCATTCACGACCACGTGATCAGCGAGCACCGACGTGAATGGCCCCCTTAGTGCGGCCGAGCAAGTGACGCTAATTACGGATGACCACTTATCGCCCGCGTACCGCGCGCGCGTAATTGCCACCGCGGTAATAACCGCCGCCCCAGAGACGTCAAGTGACCTGAAGCTCGGCGATTTCAGGCAGGTCTTTGACACCGTGAGCCGCTCGTGCACAGACGCACGTGCGCACGCAAGTCTATCTCCCCCCCACCCCACGCTCCCCTGTGAGTCACGAAGGGGCAACTATAAAGGACACATTGCTTCTTAGGTCATGCTAGCAGAGTCACTGGAGAGCGTGCATAGCACAATTGGATAAATGCGTCGAGAGAGGGAGGGAGGGAAGAAGGGAGAGGGTATACTTGGCTTTCTAGGTCGGGCAGGGCCACGTCGCTGCAGTGAGCGTGGGACACTTGGGTCAACAGCTGTTGACCCATTTACACGCTGGGTGTCGGCGGTGCGCTCACTCGCCGAGACAGGCTGCAGGGCTGCCGACACTCTTGCAGGGCAACTCACAACTCTTCACGGCGTTTGCGGCTAATGCCGGAGGAAAGGCGGCAAGCTGCCCGTGCCCGCTTTGCCTGCCGATGCTGAGTGTTCACTTATCGGAGCCCGGAACGACAGAAAAATCAATAACCAAATCTGTAAATGATGAGAAAAGGCCATAATAACTGAATTAAATAAATACAGAGATACATATTATGTGTATGTACAACCTACGTGGGTTAAGTAGCTATCTGGTTTATTGATTTTAAAAATATATTTGATAAATTATCAAATTGAAGGTCGGATTTTCAAAAGCACTCCAATGTCGTCTCGTGTCATCCTCGTGATTTCAACATTTTAATTTCCATTTTCTTAATCGGTGCGTTGCTACCTGCTACGACATGTGCCAGAGACGTGCTTATCCCCAAGCAAACGAAAGGAACGAACTCTGGAGGGAGTGCAACGAAGCATTCTTGGGATCACGTTGAGACGCAGAAGGAGCAACGATTGATTATATTGAACAATGTGCAGGTCAACGGCAACTCGGGGCGCCACGGTGGCGAGATGTTGAATGCCTCACCTGCTACACAGGCTCGCGTGGGTTCGATCCCGACACTGACGCCTGTATATTTCGAGTCTGCGTGTCTCTCTCCCTGTGGTCGCCGCGTGGATTTTTCTACGGGCCCTTCGATTTTTTGCCTCCACATTTAGATTCAGCATCGTGCGTTTAGAGTATTTGGCTGCTATAAATGTCCACGTGATCAGCCACTTCGTTGAGCTGTCATTTGCGGCCAGGTCGCTTCTGAAATAGAGCTGCACAGCTCAGTGGGCCTTAGCTTATAAAATAAAATAAAAAGTTTATTCTAGTTATAGATGATCTTAAATCATTGCAGGATCGTGGGAGATGGTTGCACTTTGACGAGTCCTTCATCCAGCAGTGGATCAACCATGATCGTCACAGTGCGTGTCATTGTCCTGGCCTTGCCAAGCGAATGCGGCACTTTTACCACCGACTCAAGGCCGCCAACAGAGATCAGTACTTTCCAAAGTTCGCTTGAGCACATAGACACTTTGACTTTGAACACTGAGAATCTTTATATTTTCGTATCAGTCTGTGATTTTAATCAGTATTGCATGACGGGTGAACGGCTGGCCAGCCAATGCATACTCTGTCGCTATTTAATTGCACACATGCCGTTCCTTAATTGCTGTAATAATGGGTAACCGTACTGCTATTCCCTAGGTACGGTGCATTAGTTGTAAGGCTATGCTGAATGTCCGTAGTGGATATGGTTATAATGGACGAGGTTGTTGCTTTGCTGTGGCAGTGGTGAATGGTGGAAATTCCCCAGATACACACGCTTATCCCAGCAGTCTGCACAGCCCTCATTGCAGCCCCGATGTCTTCCCAGTAATTGTAAATGAGACGATGAAAGGCTTCTTTCTTCAACTCTGCTGGAGAATGAGGGCCATGGCTATGTGTTGTCCATCACCTTAAACAAAACAAAAATCTACGTTGCCAGAACAAAAAACGAGTGACCATGTAGGCTTTGGTCATTCCACTCGCTCTTTTCATGGAATTTCTAAACCATAAATGCGCGCTGCCTTGCAATGGAACTCACAGAGTAGATTATCCTGTGTAGGTTCTCACAGTTGTGCTGTGTTGCTCCGCTTATAGAACAAATGTGTTCTCGGTTGGTTACCGATGAGGTTCATGAGCTTCTTTAGGAATTGAAGAAGCTCCGTGCATGGTCGATGGGGGGGGGGGGCGGAACGTCAGACATCACGCCCCAAAAAAACCCACATCGAAGAGCCATGCAGCAGATTCAGCGCCACGTTTTCTCAATTCGAGGCAACAGATGCAATGAAGTGGCCTAAGGGAAACTCACATTCATTTTGCCGCAAAGCTAGCGTTGCCAATAGTCCACAATGTTTCTAATAAGCTTTCGGAAAGCAGCATCCCATCAAGTGTTTTTTTTGTAGATAGCTCTGGATGATACCGTCCAATGAGAACAAGGGAAAGTATGGTCAATAACTTGGGGACATAGCAAGGCATGCCTGGGATGCAGTGCATGGCAAGTTGGTTACATGGCTAACAGGTTGTGGTTTGAACTGGGAATGGTCACATTCCGGTAGTTGGCTCTTGCTTGGTTAAGACCCTTTTAAGTCGACTCAGCCTCAAATGAGTACCTGGTTCGATGTGTGAACATCGCCACTGGGGAGACAAAGGCGGTCGGGCATGGTGCTGGCCACCCACCCCTCGTGCACCGTGCTGGCCTTCATAGGTGCTCACGAACAGCACTTGCCCAAAAAGTATGTTAAGGATATACGGGGGATCTTTGTCTTTGTGTAAACATGGGCACGCACGTATTGCACTTGCGCCTGAGAGTGCATGAACAATGCATTTCCCATGGTTATGCATCCTGAAGGCGGCCTTGGTCCAGATTTTACATTATATGACCACATGCTAATGTGTGCAGGTGCATTCATAATTATCATTATATTTTATGAGTCACCACGATGCCCCCATTAATTGACAGCATGTGAAAGTCACTGTAATTAAAAATGCACGTGTGTGTGTGTCTCGTATATCAGTGCAGGATGGAGCCTTTAAGTTGAAGCCAGTCTTTACTTTCACTGGCGAAGGGAGGGGGTGTGAGCAATTGTGGCATTTAATATTCTCTTGCTTTGCCTGGGGGCATTTTATTCGCCCCACTTATCCTGCGTAGGAAACAAATGGCTGGGCTGTCCGGGAAGATTTTTCATGTGTATGGTATGATCTGACGATGTATTTAATTGTACATTTACCATTCATCATTGACCAGCATGGCGAAGTGTGGAGCGAATATCCTAGATGATCTGCATGGCGCGGGGAAAGTTCTCTCCCAGCAGTGGATTGCGCTCTGCTGTGCTGTATCAATGGCTGCAAATGCACCACGAGCTCTGGACGAATATGAATCATTCCAAGTTCCCATGGTGGAGGCCAGTCTGTCCATCATACAACTCTTACTTTTGCACAAAGTATTTCTGACCTCAATGTCTCTAAGCGAGTATAGTCCAAGCCAACCCACTGCCTTTGACTTTCTCACTGGCTACTGGGCAACTACATCTGTGTATGTTGAACTTATTTGGTCCAATATGTGGCCCACCATGCTAATTGGACATGCCGGGGGAAGGACAACAAACTGAGCACAAAAAACTGTTCTGAAGAAATGAGTTTTCAATCTGGATTCAAAAGTGCATAGCTCCAGTGGCTTCCAAATATCGGAAGGAAGAGCGTTCCAGATGGTTGCATAAGCACATCTGAATACACGCGATGCGGTGACCGTTTTTGTTCGATGGCCAGCCAAAGAGCCGCTGCTGCTGCTGCTGCGAGGCTGACCGGAGGTCACGTGATGGTTTATGCTCCTATGCGAGAACAGCGAGGTATTGTGGTTCATTCGTTGCCAAGGACTTTATTGTGTGTGACGAGTGCGACATTATATAATATATATACTATACTCTTAGTTTTTTTCGGTAAAGTCACGTAGGTAAAAAATAAATAAAATAAAAAATGAAAACAACTAACTAATAAAAAAAAGAAAAATGAAAAGAACTAAATTTAAAATGAAAACAACTAAATTTAGTTGTTTTCATTTTAAATGCATTTAATTTTTTACCTACGTGACTTTATAGAAAAAACCAAAGAGTATGGATCTTTGCAGTCACGAAAACTTCAAATCTAGAATATATATACTGCACACGTACATGTTCTCTTCTGTACGAATATGTCATTCACTCAGCTGACCAATAGGAATGAGCACGAACCGATGCTCGTAATGAGTGTGGAGACACCCGCCGACTTTGATTCGGTATACTCGCGAATCCAGCTGACCATTACGAACCGAATTAACACAAAACAAAAAACATCGAAATTGAATCGGGGACGTTGGCAGACATGAGCCGCACTCGCGACTGATGGCATGCGAGCGGACATTCGTACGAACAGAAGGGGGAGGGGGGGGGATGGAAAAAAAACCACATCCACTCGAGCTGTAGACACCAGGACGCCGCCTTTGCACAACCCCAGCCCGCGTCGGCACTGCCACTGCGCTCACCTTCACAGGACCTCAGGTTGGCGGAGAGTTTGTGACCAAGTCCGCACTTGCAGATGAAGCTCCCGATGGTGTTGCAGCAGGACTCTTGACATCCGCCGTTGCCGAGCTCACATTCGTTCAAATCTGCACAACACATGGGGGGGGGGGGGGGTTGCACAAGCAAGTGGGGAGGGGGGGAATTGAGAATTAATCCTCGCGTGCAATTAGTTTACTTTACTTTATTTTAGTCTTACCATCAATACCGTATTTGTTTTCTTTATCCATATGCTTTAGCAGCAGCATATGTGTAATTGGCTCAAGTCAAACCGAGTTAGAGAGAATACATTCCTAGCTTAATATATTGTTTTTATTTCTCAGCTGAAAGAGCCAGATTTTCTTCCCCCCCCCCCACCCCCCATCCGCTTACACAATATAGAGTTCGTGTCAGGTCAGAACTAACATGTCATAAGTGAATGCTTTGCTCTGTTCCAAGGCCAGCATTCATTTTTCTTCAATTGCTGTTTGTTTGGGACCAAATTACCATCGCTTGCAAGTCATCTGCCTGCGAGTGAAAAGATCGGTGCATGCCGAGGAAGTCGCAATATTCTCCCTTCTGGAAGGAAGGGCCTGGTATTTTTCAAGCGACATTCTCTGAGGTTTTTGGTTTATTTTATTGTGATTACTGCCAATTGCTGCGAGCCCGGGCAATCTCCAGTGCCAAAAAGATTGGTTGATTGCGTGCAAACGAAGTGCCTTTTGGCTCTCTGCAATAATATGTAAAAGAAGAGATTGTATATTTAATGCTGGGCCATTTACGTGGCCAGAAAATGTACATGCACAGATCACACTGATGTTTTTTTGTATATGTGTGTGTGTGTGCACTCACACAAGATAAAAAAGCAGCATGTTTTATTTTTTAAATATTGTTTCAACCTTGCTCTTTGTTGGCAATAGTCGATCAGTAATTCTTTATTCGCCAATATCGAGAGTGCACTACATCAGATTTAGTGCACTGCATTCCATTCAGGCCCCAGGAGAGCTGCATTAGCTGGCAGCAGCTGTAAACTCCCACAATGTCTCAAAACAAAACTTCCCTGCGCTCTACCTTTGGATGAAATGATGGGGAAAAAAGAGTTATATAATGCACACGTCACGAAGTGTGGTTCTTCTGATTTTCATATTAACAAGTCGGCGTTTGCTCCCAATATTATCCATAAGAGGTTTTTGTGTTAGATTTCATAAATATAAATGTGGCTTTAAACCCGCCACGAGCCGACACAGCCAATTATAGTTGGTTTGTCAGATAAAGCACGTCTTGTTTACGTGACGAACCTTACTAATTCGCAGTGTCGGGTCGTGGCGGGTTTAACGGCACATTTATACGTTCGCGATCTAACCCAAAAACCTCGATGGATAACTTTTTTACGATATGATTTGCTATGAAGTAGGACCATTGCCTGAAACGTCAACGATTATTTCATGCTTCGAAGGCCCCAGTTTTGTTGACGAGTGTGTCGTGGATTGTTGTTGTTCATTGTGCTTGTGCACCACTGCCAACGCAGCGGCACCAACACAATTTGATTCTATGTCTACATTAGGGCTGTTAAAATTACTGCTAACATTGCATTACCACTAACAATAGGAAAAAAACAACGGCTACTTGTTTGCCACGCATAGAAATGTCTGCCGGTAAATGTAAAAAATAAATATTTTCAACGGACAAATTCGCACAAATATGGCACTCGTTGTATAGGCTCTCCTGGAACCTGGAACTGACTCTTAAACGGTCAAATGTTTTCTTGTCATCGTTTTACAACCATATAATTGTTTTAATATATATACTGTATACACAATTAATCGTGCATTAGGTCGCGCTGAATATCCTAGAACAACACCCTTCTTAATTTGTTTTGTCACGTTACAAAAGTTTGGATAAACAGGGTGCGGTAGTTTACCAACTGCAATGATGCTACGTATAATGGGCAAAGGGAACATTTGCTGTAATTTCTTACGTAAATTTGTGATGTAGTTGACGAGTGTAATGAGAGCATGCATTCTCTTAAATACACATTCTATCAGCAAACATGTGTCCGATCTGTTCACGAATATTGGAATAAACATGGGAAGATAATCTGCCAATCGCAATAATTCTACGCATATTAATCTACGGGAAGTTTTAGCTGGGATTCTTTCTCATGCGCGTGGAGTGTTGATGCAGAGTGTTACGGGCAAGAGTTTGCATCCTAAATTGCAAACGTTACCTCGCACAATGTAAATAAACAACGCGGCACAAGCATGCATTCCTCTTTTAAATACTCGTCGTTGAATTTCGATTTAAAGCTTTCGTGACTGCAGTGATTCATCTTCTTGGTAGAAGGGAAATAATAAAATAATAAAAATTAAACATTATAAAATCATTCTCACGACGTTTCGGCCACAACGCAAGCAGCCGTCCTCAGGTGAAGAACAGAGTCTGTCGGAAAGTCAGCGTCTGAAGTCGTTGCTTTCACTTGTTTACAGCACTATCAAAGTTTACCAATAGATGGCACTGCGTGGCCGTAATGCGAAGAGGAATGTGCGTCGCGTAGCCACAACATACAATTGTTTTTGATATCCCCAAGCAGTTTCCTAAAACCACAGCCGTCGACAGTGTAAACATCGCATGGAGGCGAGGGAGATTTTCTGCTCAATGACCGTCTCATGAGCGTGCATTGTTGCGCTTTCTGAGCTGAGAGATCGCAGTCTGCCTAATGGGGAAAACAAAACTGCGTTAAGTCGAATCACTTCTTGTGAAGACGAAAAAAATACCTCCCGCAGGTCATACGTTTCCCAGCCATATGGGTCACTGAATACATTACAACTAAACGCATATCCTCCGTAGCCCTATCAACCGTGACTCCTGTAGAGGCCGTGAAAACTCCATTATCCATGCCCCCTATTCTTCATATGAAACCACGCTTATCCGTCATTTTTCCCACGAACGCATTGTGACAGGCCTGTATGCACGTATGTACGTTGAACTTCTTTCGCGCCATACGTAACCAACCGTGCTAATCGTAGGTGTCTGGAAGGACAACAAACACGGCTTCCCATCGTCTACATCGCTTATTGGGAGAATTAGTGGTTCACTGTCAAATTCATCCAGTTCTCAATGGCTATCCGCATTTGTTCTTTTGCAGCAATTGGAGTCAAACTCTTAGGTTTTTTTCGGTAAAGTCACGTAGGTAAAATACATAATAAAATAATATATATTTTATTTTTAAAGTCGCGTAGGTCAAAATAAATAATAATACAAATTTACCTACATGACTTTACCGAAAAAACCTAAGAGTATGAATCCTTGCAGTCACGAAAGCTTCAAATCTAGAATTGGAGTCAATTTTCAGATAACATCGCTGATAATGTGATCGTGTGATGTTCATCCCACACATCACTATGGGCAGGAAGAATTTACTGTATATTTACATCCGAGACCGTTTGTGTAAATTACAGTCGAACCCTTGATTACCACAGCCATCAGGCATATCCGCACACTTCCACAATGCATTGAGTGAGCCCTCTCAGTGTTATCCATTCCGGTTCAGATTTGAATTGATAATGCTAGCCTGTAAATGCGTAATTTAGTTAATCAAATGCCAGAGAGCTGGTGGTTTGTACAGCAGGATTTAGTGATTTTATTTTCCCCCAAGGCTTATGTGCACACAGTGATACTTTGTGGCGATAGTAATGGCATCTGCGGATTGTGTGCATGTCATTGCACTCATTATCAATAATAATAATAACGTACTTTAAGGGTTATTAGCTGGGATGTGGTGCACGGCTCAATTTTTACCAATGCTAACATGAAAATTGCTATAATTTCCCTAATGGCTGTGACCTCTCTGCATTGTAAAAGTGGAATGAATGTCAAACTTGAATATTTTAATTGCCGCTGATCTTTTTCAAAGCATTGTCTCAAGCCGGCGTTATAACTGTTGAGCAATCACCACCTTGATTTTTTTTTTATCTCTGCTGTGTGTTCACGTGTGTCACTATGCATGCACCTGCTCTCAAGCAAGCCCCAGGGAAAGGACATCTTGAAAGTGTAACATTAGTTAAATAGGTCAATAATACACTGACTCATGTCTTTGAGGAGCATTTTACAAGAATGTTATTACGGTATCAAAAATATACGAATTAAAAGTCGACCCAGATGGCTGGAAGAAACGTCTTGTGAGAAAAGAGGATAACACCCACAGCCAGATGACAATGGTGAACAGGGAAACACTGGGGCTGTGTAGACTGAGTGGCAGGGCCTAGAGAGAGGTCCTTCGCAGCGATGTTCTGTTATTAACCTTTTCCCGTTCTGAGAGGTCTGAAAGTTGCAGGTTGGTGGGTGTCCCATTCACCACTGAATCTCGGAACGCACAAGCAGTTCAGCCTTAGTTTTATTTAGTAAGGCGTAGCGCCGTTGTTTTTTTAAAGGCATTGTACTCACCCCAGAGAACTGTAGCGACACAACCACACTCTACGATAGCTGGCGCCAAACTATGCCACGCCCTCCCGCATGCGATGACGTACACGTACATGGACGTCATCAGAACAGAATTGGAAGAAAATAACTGATGACCTCCCATGTCACACACGTCTACCACACCCAGTCTCCATGCAAATATAATATGATCCGGGATATCAATAGACCTATATTACATGACTGTATCATTAGTATAACGCAAAAGATGAGGATTATATCAGTTTAACAAGTAGGTTTTTGAGACCTATATTATTCATGATAAAGGTTTTTTTAATTAGATCCCTTAAATATGTGTCCTTAACCCCATTATCACCCGACACAGCCAATTAGTAAGGTTTGTCACTTAAACAAAACGTGCCAATTAGATACTAGTTCAACACACCGGTTGCTTGAGAGTAACTCCACAACATTTACAATTTGAGTACGAAGAGCGGTTTCCAAATAGCAATTGGTTGTAGTCATACAATCCATGAATTGACCTTTCGTACATGCACATTTATTACAACTTTGATGTCATGCCTAGCCATATGTTTGTGAGCACAAAGCAATATGATACGTCTTTAATGCCCGGAATTGAATTATTCTTTATAACTGAACATGTGTAATTTCCTGAATTGTTTGGCGGTTAACA